GAAAGGGACCTTCAAGTTATGTCCTATGGCTACCAAAAGAAATGAACAAGACCTTGGGCTACTTGACTGCCACGAGTAGCCAACACGGGTGGGAGGGGAGCCACTCGCCTCTGCACTAGTCTTCGCCAGGGACCTATGTCTCCACGGGAGTCGCCAGCTCTGGGCCGGGCACAGCCCCTGGGTGCTCAGATTGCCTAGAATGGCTCCAGCCCCACAGCTGCCTGTTCAGGCGGCCCTCCTGGATGACAACCTCCCCACCCAGCCTCCTCCCTTAGCCTGGGGACTCAAGGCTAGAGCCTGGACAGCTAGGAAGAGAGGCTGCCCTTGAATGGGGAACACCCCCAGGAGGATGACTCCTGGCATCCCAGAGCCACCCCCTACCCCCTGAGTCCCAAAGCTTAAAGACGGACCTCTAAGGCTGCTCAGGCCAGAGACCTGCTCTCTAGAAGAGCACTCAGAACAGGTCTGACTGGCCAGAAAGCCAAGCCGGCCCCTTGGGGTGGAGAATACAGTGAGGAACACAGAGCAAGGGAGCACCCTGCCCCTCCTCCACTCTGCCTCTGCCCTTAAAGAGCCAGACAAGAACTTGACAGCAAGCTAGGCTGGGCGACCGCTGAGGTTCACAGATAACCCTGTAGGGAAAATGGTAGAGGTGCCTTCTTAAACTGACTCATGAGGTCCCAGAGAAGGAAGCCAGAGACCTAGGGCTCAGCTTTCGAGCAGGGGGTGTACTTACTTTGCTGGGGCCCGGAGCACGTAGGGGCACGAGGCTGGGTCGAAGACAGCCTGCAACGACTCGCAGTCCTGGAAGGACAGGTTGTGGGTCTTCCTCACCCCTGGATGGGCAGACAGGGTCTCAGTGGGAGTCGCCAACCTCCACCCCTACACCCTGGGGATCCCCTGGCTGGCCAGCTGCCCACTCACCGTATCTGCAGTGCAGCTGGACCACCAGGAGGCTGCTCCTGCCATTCAGGGAGATGCAGCATTTCTCCACGGTCTTCTCCAGCATCACCAGTGAGCGGAAGACGGACAGGAACGACTGAGTAGGGGGAAGACATCAGGCCAGCACTGCGCTTCCAGCGACCAGTTCTCATGTCCCCTGTAGGCCCTGCCTGGCCCACCATGGACTCAGCAGTGTCATAACATGAAAGGAGCTCCCACAACTATGGGACATTTACACACTTCTAGGCCTTTGTTCATGCTGTTTCCCATCAGGAATGTCACCACATTCTCCAGGTCCCTGGCAGGATCAATCACCCTCTCCACATCTGCCATTCCCCTCTGGGGATGTCTTCATTATGCCCCTCACTGCACTGTGCACTGGCTCGCTCCTGCACACACATCTTTCCCCAGGTAGCAGCATCTACTGAGCGCCCCAGAGCAGACGCACTCCCGGCAGAGGTTCCTGAAGGGGTGCAGTGCTGCTGCTGAGGGAAGGGCCTCACCTTCATCAGGATCTTACATCGCAGTGGGTCCTGACCAGGGGTGGCCGCCTGGTACAGCTGGAAGAAGAGGGGGGCGAAGAGGAAGCAGGCATAGGCAGAGCGAGAGGAGTTCACAGTCCGGAGAGAGAGCTGGGCCAGGAAAAGCAGGGAAAGGGATGAGGTCAGGGGCAGAGGCAGGCACAGCCATTTGGCCTCGCTAGCTCACACACTAGTCCTCATGTCCTCCACCTCCACCACCTGTTGAAAACCTGCCTCCCCTTCCTTCTCCATGAAGCCTTCCCTAAGTTGGCCTCAGCACTGCTCCCCAGACAAGGGCCCTACACTGCCGTCAGCACACTGCCTTTTCCCCTAGTCACCCCACCACCACCACCACCACCACGGGGCACTTCAGGGAGGGCAACTGCTTTCAATTCACACAGAGGTCTGGGAAGAAGACAGCACCCAAAATGACACCACAGCACTGCGGTTAGAAAGTGAAACAGCTGACAAATCTGCCCACGGGCATCCTGCCTGGTGGATACGAGACTCAAACCCAGGATGGGGCTGTTGGAATCCCACCCACCCATATACCCGCGTCCCTCACCCCGTCTTCTAGGGGCTCCAGGTAGAGCTCGTCCCCGATACGGGATAGAGAGTGGACGGCCTTGCCGAGCACTGCGAGGCGAGAGAGAATCGGGGTTAATCCGGCGTCTCGGGCCGTCCCACGTGCCCCCGCCCCCTGGCCAGCTCCGGCTCACCCTTCACGTTGCCGCCCGTGACCAGACACTTCATACTGCCCCCAGCATAGAGGCTGGGCCTGGTCTGCGACCGGGCTGAGACTGGCGGCTGGCCGGCGGCGGGTCCCCAAACGTATCACAGCTCGCGGCTCCCCTCCGGATTTCTCCCGCAGCAGATGCCCTGGGCTCCCTTCGCGCGCACCGCCCCTGGCAGCCCCGCCCCCGCCTCCTCATTGGTGCACACACCCGCGCCTCCGTCACGTGAGAAAAACGTTCGCCGGCTCCGCCGTCACGTGACGGAGTCTGTCCTGCGGGGTGGGTGGGTCCTGGTCATGTGAGCCGGGCGGGCCTGGTTGGTGACCTCTCCCTGGCCAGCCCACCCCGGCCCCCTCGCGTCCCTCCGGAGCCGGTCCGCTCGGCGGGACTCAAGGTGGCTGCGCACCCTAGCGCGAGGAGCACAGAAGACGGGGCCCCAGGGTCTCCGGTGCGGGGAAGCCCGCCTGAGTCACTAATTTAGTACGGATTTCCTGGGTGTCTATCGGGGATACAGGGTCCAAGCAAGACCGTCCGCACCCAATCCGGGCCGGGGTCTCTAGCAACAACCACCCGCCCGAAAAAGAGATGAAAGCAATTGCGGCAGGATCTGCGGGTGAGAGGTGGCTGTTCATTCTGGCTTCGAGGATCTTTCATTGATTGATGAAGAACAGAAGAG